TCTCCTCTCCCCCATCTCCTGGCGCATCATTTCTATGTGCCAAGATGACTGAAGGGGTACCTTATTGGTGATGCAGTAAGTTTTTCTTTTTTAAAAAAAGGGTTATGGTTGGGGGGGGGCTTCTGGGTGGCTGGGTGCAACTCTGGTAGTTATTGAGATGGCATCTAGACACCCTGGGAAAGTCCGTGTTTTGGGCAGCTTTTGGGGACAAGCACCCATGCTGAAGCAGGTTTTACTCTTGTCTGGAAGTGCTCTTAATCCAGACAAGACAGAGGTGGCCCCTGGTCAGTCAGAGGCATATCAGGAAATAGGGATCCAGCCTGTAATGTGTAGGGTTACACTCCCCTGAAGACAGAGGTTTGCAGTTTGGGGGCCCTCCTGACTCAGCATTGAATCTGGAGCCCGGAGTGCTTTCGCACATTTAAACTTGTGTGCCAACTGTATCGGTCCCTTGAGATGCTGGGTCTGGCCATGGTCTTACATGCCTCAGAGTTACATCCCATTTGGATTATTGTAATATGCTCTTCCTTTGAAGAGTGTTCAGAAATTTCAGATTTGGCCAAGTTGTTGACTGGTGCTGGCTACAGGGAGTGAACAATCTCCCTATTGCAACAGCTCCACTTGCTGCCAGTTTGTTTCCAGACACAATTCAAAGTGCTGGCCATGAGATTTAAAATCCTATATGACTGAGATTCAAACTATTTAATTGATCTCATTTTCCAGTACAAACCTGCCTGGGCCCTGAGATCTTTGGGAGAAGCCCTTCCCCCAGTCCCAACACCAACTTGGCTCGTGGGAGTGAGAAACCAAGTCTTCTCAGTGGTTCCCCAGGGAAGCCAGAAAAACCCCATCCCTGCTGTCCTTTTGGTGGCAGGCTAAATCTTTCTTTTCAGGCAGGCTTACAAAGAAGAAGGTTTTTAAGATCAACCCAGGGATGATGTATAGCATTTTAGCTGTGTTAATAGGTTTTTAATTGTGTTAATTGTTTATTTTCAATAGTTTCAATGTTTAGTATTTGTATGCTTTTTCGGTTTTATATTGTATATTGTATTGTTTTTAGTGTTGTTAGCTGTTAGTTTACAGAGAAAAATCAGAATATAATAAACTATTTTTAATTGTTAAGTTATCGATTTACCATATATGATTCCTTAGGCACATCAAGGAAAAGCGGGACAGCAATTTATTGTTTGTTTATTTATTGTTTGTTTGTTTTCAATAAATGTGTTGTTCGGCTATACATTGTTGTTTTCCTTATGAACCAACACAGCCTTACTTGGAAAGTCCCTTAGAGGTCTGCAAGGAATTTCCTTTTTTTTTAATCCAATGATTTCACCCTTAAGAGGACATTAAAAATCATTGTCTTTTTCACTGTTCCATGAGTGAAACATAGCTGCTCTTCTATTTTGTCCCATTTGGATTATCAGAAATTCTATTTGAAGGAGGCAGAGAAAGACTCCCTTGATATGAGATAGGGGGGGGGGACTGTTAAAGCTCATCAAAAGTTTTCACCAAGCAGAGTATGAATCCAAAAATATATAAAAAGAGAAGGGTTGGCACAGAGAGAGTAATAAAAAGTGTACATGTAACTCAGCACGATACAATGTAACTCAGCACAATAAAAAGCCTAGGTCTCCAGTTTACAATAACAGACTAGGTTCTTAATAAATCACCTAAAAATACACCCAACTTTGGTATTATAAGGAATCCCCGATTTTACTTTTAGTTTTGCTCTGATTCAGAGACAAGAACAACCATGATTCTTTGTTCCTATAGCATTTGGTAGACTCTGATCTCCTTTTTGCATATGTAAATTAAGATTGGCTGCTCCCAATTAAAGTAGAACCATTGACTCTGTTGTTAAATAATGACTCAGCACTCACATAATTCCAATTAATTTATTGTGGCTGCTCTAGTAATAATTGGTTTTAAGGCATTAGACTTAACGTTAAATCAATTTAGTTAGGTTGCATCTATAATGTTAAACGAATGCAGTTTGCCACCGTGTTAACTGCTATGGCTCAATACGATGGAATCCTGAGAGATGTAGTGTGATGAGGCACTAACACTCTTTGGAAGAGAAGGCTAAAGACTGTATAAACCAGTGGTTCTCAACCTGTGGGTCCCCAGGAGTTTTGGCCTACAACTGCCAGAAATCCCAGCCAGTTTACCAGCTGTTAGGATTTCTGGGAGTTGAAGCGAAAACATCTGGAGACCCACAGGTTGAGAACCACTGGTATAAACCTACAACTCCCAGAATTCTATAGCATTGAGCCATGGCAGTTAAAGTGGCATCAAACTAAATTAATTCTATAGTGTAAATGCACCCTTCAACTTACCTGTTTTTAGTTGGACTTATTTTTGAATAGAGATGCTTGGGACAATGCAGCTACATCCCGATTCCCTAGTATCTAGAAATAAACTTCATTTAACTGAAATGAGACTGCAGTCTAGTCAAATCTGACTCTGGGGACTGGTGCTCATCTACATTTCTAAGTTGAAGAGGTTTCTATACAGCACAGCCTACATATAAAACAAGCTCATATTCTATTTTGAATTGATTTTAATATCCTATAATCTGTGTTGGACAGAGGGAAATCCCCCATAGGCTGAGTGGACAGCTAGCAGCTAAAACCAATGCTTACACCAAAAGTGCCGCTTAATATTCTCCTCCTGTTTCCATAGAAACCTAGCATTCACTGACAAAAAATAAGGTACTTTAATGCCTGTTTCATAACTCCATTTACCTTGGTTTGGCCCATTTGTTTATTATGTGGCAAAATTCTCATTATTTCATAGCTACTAAGCATGTTTTTTTTTTACTACAAAAAACAGTCCTAAAATACCATTCAATTTTTTTAAAAAAAAACCTGCTTTGACCAACTAATCACAGTGTATCTGAGTTAGCACTGTCATTTATAACTTAAAACTGTAGAAGCAAAGGTAAATTGTGAGATAAATGCAAATGCCCTGCAACAGACATTTTAAAATACTGTCATTACTTGAAGCATGTAAGCTAAAATTGAATAATGTGGAAGGCACCTGAATATTTCTAGAGAAAATTATATGATAATAAGTACTCTAAACTGAAAAGGGGGCTGACAATAAGTTTTGGCAAATTCAGTTAGCTTCTGAAACTGATCAGTTCTATAAATTACTCTACCCATGGCATGCTTGGTCAGGGGATGGCAGGGACTTAGTAGATGCAGAGCGTATATTGATTTGGAACCCCATTTAAAGAACTTCATTCAAGCCACAAGAAAATTGGTTCCAGATATATTTCTTGGAACTAATGCAAGCCCAGGGGACATTAGGTAAAGGTTTCCCCTTGACATTAAGTCTAGTCAAATCTGACTCTGGGGAATAGTGCTCATCTACATTTCTAAGTTGAAGAGCCAGCGTTGTCCATAGACGCCTCCTAGGTCATGTGGCCGGCATGAATGCATGGAGTGCTGTTACCTTCCCGCCAAAGTGGTACCTATTGATCTACTCACATTTGCATGTTTACAAACTCCTGTTGTTAGCTGGGGCTAACAACAGGAGCTCACCCTGTCCCATGGATTTGAACCAGCGACCTTCCGATCAGCATGTTCAGCAGCTTTGTGGTTTAACCCACTGTGCCACCATGGCCCATTCAGAGGACATTATCGACTCTAATAAGAAAGATAGAATGACTTGTGTTCCCTTTAGTCCAGTAGTTCTAAAATTTTGGTCCCTCAGATTTCAACTCCCAGAAGTTCCAGCCAGTTTGGCAAACATCCAGAAACTCTGGGAGCTGAAGTTCAAAACACTTGAAGGACCAAAAGTTGTGAACCACTGCTTTAGTCAAAGCATTTAGGGATTTGACTTCTCTAGCACCATTTGCTAGAAGTGAATCTGAGCACCCAACAGAAATATGCTGTAGATACCTCCAGTGCTCTGGGGCTTGTTTTTTGTTTGTTTCTTTAAAGAGTGGTGTGTGTTGACATACAATATGCACTATGTGCAGTGGTGGTTGGGGGATCCTATGTCAGTGAGTTGATGAATCCAATAAAGATTTAGCACTGAACATAAAAGGAGTTGGCCAAGGTGCAGAACCCAATACCCATGATAGGTTTAGCTTCTCAATACGCTTTTCAAAGTTTGGACTAAAAGTAAGGTTGGCTGTACACTATAATTAATGCAGTTTGACATCACTTTAAGTGCACCAGCACTTTTTGGCAGAGAAAGCTAAAGATCATGTAAAATTACAACTCTGCTATTCAATAGCATTGAGCCAAGGCAGTTAAACTGGTGTGAAACTGCATTAATTCTATAGTGTAGATAAATTCTCAGAACAGTATTCCCACCCCCTTCACATGGAAGTCTGAACACATTAGAAAGAATTTTTAAAAAAAATATTCTTAAAATACATTTTAAATAAAATGTCCAATGCTTTAAGAAGCCCCCAGTGGCGCAGTGGGTTAAAGCGCTGAGCTGCTGAGCTTGTTGACTGAAAGGTCACAGGTTCGATTCCGGGGAGTGGCTTGAGCTTCCGCTGTCAGCCCTAGCTTCCGCCAACCTAGCAGTTCGAAAACATACAAATGTGAGTAGATCAATAGGCACCGCTCCAGTGGGAAGGTAATGGCGCTCCATGCAGTCATGCCAGCCACATGACCTTGGAGGTGTCTGTGGACAATGCTGGCTCTTCAGCTTAGAAATGAGCACCACACCCCAGAGACAGACATGACTGGACTTAATGTCAGGGGACAACCTTTACCTTTTACAATGCTTTAAGGAAACAAAGTATTATTAGTTAAGGAAAAGGTTTTAAATATATTTTCAAACAGATGTTTTTAATGTGATGATATTTAATTGGGCTTTTGTTGTTATTGTTAGATTTTTAAACTGATCTTGTTTTAGCTTTGTGAGCAGCTATGGATTCCCCATCAGGAGAAAAGCAGCATATGAATGGAATAAATTAATAAGTGGCCTCACCTCATCTCAGTTTGTTTAGTTTTTTACAGAAAAGATATATTTCATACCTCTCCAAGGGAGAAATACCGTCGTGGAATCTGGGAATCTGGATAGACATTTTCCAGATACCATGAAAATGGTTTACATTTCAGGTTCTCTCTCAGTGCTTTTCTGACTGTTACATCGCCATAGTCCACTTTCACAACTCCTGAATTTGTTCAGAGGGAAAAAAACACAACATCAAGATACATTCAAAGCAGACAAAAATGTCAACTGCTTTAATATACTTTTATAGAGTAAAGAGTAAACACACTGGTATCTCTGACTGAAATGAAAAAATGTCCATACACACTCCATTTTCTGTTACACTGAGTTACTATCTAAACATATTTCTGAGAAGAAAGGCATTTTATAATCAATTTTTAATTTAAAGATTAAATGCTATAATTAGAACTTGCTTTGGACTTCTCTCTCAGGTCACTCTTAACTTTTTCACCATTGCTGCTACCTATGAAATACCCATAGTACAGTCCCATAAATCAAAAGTGTTCATAAGAGATTATTCCTGGGAAGTATAGAAGTAGACTAGAGCCTGAAATGGCCAAACTACGTGTTCCAACTTGAGACTCATATCAATTGGATCTGGTCTTTTTAGGGTATAAGGTGAAATAGTTGTTAAATAGGGTAGTACTACTGGATAAAGTACGTCTTCAGACCATAAAATCTTACGAAATAAATTTGCTTGAATTGCCAACATAAAGTCCTAGACTGGTTCAACTGGTTGTCTCAGAGGACACCCAGTTGAACAAAGCAATACCAGTACTGTAGCCTTTTTTTTATTGTGTCAGAAGCGACGAGAGGCTGTAAGTCGCTTCTGGTGTGAGAGAACTGACCATATGCAAGGACGCTGCAAGGGAAGCTGGAACTGACAGATGGGAGCTCACTCCGTCTCGTGTATTCAAACTGTTGACCTTCAGGTCAACAATTCAGCCGGCAAAAGGGTTTAACCCACTGCACCACTGCAATGAGTTAAACCCTTAGGTTGGTAAGATGCAGTTGTTAATAAACCAATATAAGGTTATGAAATTGGAGAAATCAATTATAGATATGTAAGATTTATAGTAGCAATAAATCTTAGAAATACATTTTTTGTTCCTTCTCCTCAGCTCTTTCTCTTGATGCAAAGGAAACAATAGGTTGAATTGCTGCTGAAATATTAAGTTGTACCCTTTTCTTCCTTCCCACAAATCATACAGTGGTCATACATCAGTATATCTCAGTTATCTAAAGACTGAATAATCTGGAAAGAAAAATGTGTATTGAACTCTGATGATACTACAGTATGACCTCCATATCAGCAGGACTGGTATCTGTGGTTTCATTTATCCATGTCTGAAAAAATATGTCATCCCAAGATATTTTCTAGGTCCTCTTGAATGATTATATGGCATTATTGGGTCAGAAGTACTTCATTTCAATAGGGTTTAATATTTTTTGCAATTTTACATAACCATGCATCTGGAAATGTATCTCTTGTGGATATGGAGATTGTATTATACCGTTTAACTTGTAAAATTGATGTCTTAAGAATCCATCCCTACCCACAAAGTACACTTCCACTTGGAGTCCATTATTCTATATTGTTGTTATTAACTGCCTTCATCGACTTCATCTTATGACCATCCTACGAATAGGAGACCTCCAAGTTAGCTTATCCTCAATAGTCATGCTCAGGTTTTGCAGATTCAAGACATGTTACAAGACAGGGAGGAAAAATTATTATTTTCTAAAGCTCTCTGAATTGTACAGTAAGCTTTGCATGCACGTTTTACATTTCTAATTATATATACCCCCTAACTGGAAATGTGTTTTAGAAGTAACGGTACAAGAACAGACAGCCAATTATTGTAAACTTTACACCATCAGGCATTGTTAACATAAATAAATCCATTCTGTTACATACATAAATACACACATATTTCACCAGATAGCTTTCTGACAGCTTGTGAACCCTGATGAAAGACAACAGTCTGACAGATCTGATATAGACGAGATGAGACTAGCTAGGAGAAAAAATAGTTGAAACTGAGAAATGTGTAAGTGCATTTTTTCCAATCTCATACTGTCAGGGCAATACAAAAGTATGCAAGCCATATGAGTGATTTTACAGATGGCCGCAGATGGATCAAGGTTGTATGTAAAAAGCATTTAGTCACAATAGTACTCCACAGAGTAGTTATACAATTTCAAGGGCTCTTAGCCTGTGCAACATGCCAGAGACAACCAAAACCAAATGTAAGCTGTAGACAAGCAAAAAGGCTGAATTTGCATGAATGGAGGTTGTGTCTACACAGTCCTGAACATCTGGAAGTAAGTTGGATAAAAGAGGAGGGTGGTCCAGAAAATGCAATGCTGGAGCACACATTTAACATTATACAGTACATTAAAAAAACTCACTGGATAATCCTAAATCGGCAATAAAATGCACTGCATCTGACTAGTGTATGGTAGATGCAGAGCAGGATTTTGGGAGCAACATGCGCAGTGTTGGTAAAAACAGTGCTCATGCTGGAATATTCAGATGCAGAAACTGAATATGGCACTCTTTGGAAGGTAAATTAACACCTTTCTTCTGGGAGGGCATCACTTTCCCTTTTTTGTTTTTTCCCCTGCCATGAATAGGATTCTCATCCAATGGACTTCTTCTCTTTGTTACACTTCTCCAAACACGGTTAAAAAAAAAAAGCTTTATATCGGATCAATTTGGCATTAGAGGAGCTTTGTGGACTCTGCAGGAGCTTCTTCACAGTGCCTGTGGAGACTCAAAAGATGAACTGAGTTTCTTTAATCCACATCTGGATTAAGTGGCTTGGTGGAAGCAGCCTGAGATACTTTTAAAGCGAAAGCTTACTACTGACAACCATGGAGGACAGCTTTATCCCTGGAGCTTCTGAAACCTTCAGGAAGTTAAGAATGCATAGTAATATATACATCTATTTACACACATCTAGCATTTCACCATAGTATTAGAACTCACTATTTTACTTATGATTGTGAGCCTTAGGACAAATCTACAATGTAGAATTAATGCAGTGTGACTTTAAGTGCTATAGTTCTGTGCTATGGAATCCTAGGGGTTATCGTTTTATAAGGTCATCAGCCTTCTCTGCCAAAAAGTGCTCCTGGCTCAGCACCCAGGAATCCATAGCATTCGACCATGGTAGTTAAATTTCTGTTAAATTGTATTAATTTACAATGGAGATGTATCCATAAAATTGGCCTATATCCTCTAAAATTGATCAGGGCCTGTATACTAAAAAAAAAGTTGTAGAAACTACAAAGGAAGTAACAGACAACAAATATAACCCAATTTAAGCTTGATTTTGGTACGCCATCTGCTTCTATTGCGGTTTTGATTACCACGCCAAGAAAACCCTGCCTTCAGATACTAAAGCAGAGCTGTCTTACTAATATGGAGGAGCCTGACACTAAGGCCAATATCTTCTACTTCTGCTGGAGAAATCTGTGTCCAAAATCCCATTTTGCTGCTGTGTCCAAAATCCCTGCAGCCTCTATGCATTCCTAGAACTCATTCTGGGTGGATCAAAAACCCTCTGGAGCTGTTTTTTAATTCTATTTTTGCTAGCATAGAAGGCTGCAACTGGAGGGAGTAGGAAGGAAAAGATCAAATTGTAAATCTGAGATTCAAAGTGCACTGTTGGATCTTTCTTGGCTTGTATGCATACGGAAAATGCATGTATCTCTTCTGGTGGGAGAAATACATTGCAGAACAGACATATAAATCAATGTGATTTTAAAGTAACTTTGCTAAAATCAATTTGATTTAAAAGTAAATGTACATGTAGTTGTATCTTTAGTCTGAAAGCATGACCCAGTCATCACACATATCTACCTGAACTATGTTTCTCATGAACAGAATTCATTAGCAATAGTGTTATTATCATTTCTACATTTTATGTGGCCTCTGTAGGAATCTTTAAACAGAGCAACAGCTTTAGGATAACCTTCAAATTGTTAAAGAGCTGCGATAGGATGAATTCAAGAAACTATGATCTGAAATGGTAAGGTTGGCGCTGATCTAAAGCAACTCTCAGAAATTATTGTGGTTGATAAGATTTGGCAACTGGATGATAGTAATTATTTTATATATGTAATAGTTTTCTGAAATATCACTATCTATAATGGAGGGCCACCATGAAATATTCTTAACGAAACAGAAATGTGCAAAAATTCTGAAACCAAATGCATGGAGCAGTTATGTTTAGGTTACAAGTAGTGCAGAGAAATTGCAAAAAATACTTGTATTTTGTGGAGATGCTCAAAAACATACTGAAGCCACAGTTGATCTTTGACATTAAAACTATAAACCTAAAAGGAAGTTGTTTCAGCCCAAAAAATAATAATTTGTAATTGAGAGTTTGGAATTACACGCTGCATCCAGCAGATGGAGCTATTTTCCCACAAGAAGCCAGGCTCCCACAAATAAAGACATCCACACTCTTGAAATGATTTTTGATACAAGTATAAATTGGTTTCCAACAAAGAATGGGAATACATAGTCACATCTTATTTGTGAAATAAGATGCAGTGAAATCAATAAGCTAAATACTGCAGACCCTTGAGGCTAAATTTCTTCATCCTTTGCAGTCAGGATATATACGAACATTTATTCATTTCAGATTCATATATTTAGCCTTGTAGCTAATATAAATAATAACATTCTAGTTTTCGTGTAACAGACTTTGAAACAGCAGGGAACATGTACCTATTCTGGGCACCCAAGCTTCAGGCTTCTGGTATAATATGCAAACAAATAGCTTATCTTCTCCATCAAGATGAGTAGTCATCCAAGACCCCTCACAGCATGGCAGAAATGCTTTGCATACTAGTTCAAAAGCAGCAGACACAGAACTGTTGCTTATCTACTAGGCTTCTAATGTTAGCTGTTTTCTTCCATGCATGACTTCATCATATTGCCTCAGTTTATCCAAACCTATGTCTCAAACACACAAACTTAACGAAAGCTCAAAAGTACAAAATAAATAGGAGTCCTGAGTACTGATGGTGGTCCCATAAGATGCACCCATGTTTGCTTCTCTTTTCCTGAACATTTCAAGAGCCAAAGTTTGAATAGATATGGGATAATAGAGACATGAATAATAATATTCTTACTTGTTGATGTTTATC